CTATGACGATGCATTCCCAGGGGCCTTAAAATCGTACGAGTTTACATTACCATAAAACTTTTAATTTTAATCGTTTCAATAGTTCATATTTTTTATGGTGAGTATCGTGAGTATGTGTCTTATAAGCTATGATTAGAGTAAGAATTTAAAACAAACTCAGAGGTATATATATCTTCATAAAGTTATTCATACCCCTTGTAAATTTGATGTGTTTGTGTTTTTTGTAACTCAAGAATGAAAGGTGGACTGGTTGAATTAGAGCCTTTGTTGAAAACTTTTAGATATAAGCTTCAGTTTGTTCACATTCTGAAGAAACAAAAATCGGGACAAATCAATGCTTCACATACTTAAAGGTAAAGACCAGTATTGGAAACGCCCCAATTTCAAAAAATGAAATGGAAGCTCTCATTACCAATCATGTGAAAGAATATGTTTTGACTAATACATGATGATAAAAAATTTGCCGGGAAACCGCCTACTAAATCATATATTTGGTAAATTTGTTTCTCTCATGGTCTGTGAGAGATATAGGGTAGTCCCATATACATCTTTCTGTGTATAGTGCTTGTAACTTTACGAAGACTGGGCCACATTTCTTTTCATTTTGATGATTCCAGAACCTTGCAGATGCTAGATGCTAGATGATCAACCTTTTCTGATCGATTCCACAATGTTTCTTTCACAATGCAATCGCATGACCATTACTGGTCTTTACCTTTAACACTTTACAGAACTTGGTAAGGATATGAATAATTTAGTTGCTAACTGTATATATATATATATATATATATATATATATATATATATATATATATATATAGCTATCAACATATACATGTAGTTATAGACTAATCTACAGACACAAAATATTTTGATACAAAATTATAGTGCCTGAATTCTTGCCTAAGTGATCATTGACGAAATGATAATTAAACAAAATGATTATTAACGTTAATGGACGAAATGATGTTAGACCATATGACGATTGAACCTAATGGCAATTTAACACAACAGTTTGGAGTATTCTATACAGAATTTTCAGACCTCATGACTCTGTAGTTACTGAAAATGGTTTGTTATCACCACATTTATGTTAATGTTATTTGTTGAGCAATAGACGTTATGTTTATCAGCACTATCAAAACTGAACATCAAACTACCGAAGAACGAACGGGTAAGACAATCAGGGGATGCATGAGAGGGATGTTTTGAGAGATAGACTGGGTAATTGAGAGAGAGAGAGAGAGAGAGAGAGAGAGAGAGAGAGAGAGAGAAGGGTGGTTAGTAGGAATTAAAAGATGGGGTCATCCAAGTTCACAATACGCATACTTATAGGAACATTTCCTAACTACAGAGGATGAACATATTCTTGGAAGGGAAGACATAGAACAAATATAAAGAACCAGTCTACAAAGATGACATTAATTAGTACAAGAACCTCTATAACCATGGTAACACGCTTGGCTAGCCAGGTCACGTGTCTCATAAAATGAACATCCTTTAGTAGAAGGTACCCTCCTTCCTTCCGCTTGTACTTTAAAGGTCAAAGTGGACCACTCCCTAAAACCCTCTTGGAATACTCTCAAACACTTTTAGGTGAGTTTAAATTAATAAGTTCCTGGTGTTGGTGACCTTTAATATACCCTGGCACCATACAACAAGGTGCAGGCGTTTTGAGAAAACAAACAACAAGTAAACGGAAAATGAACAGAAAAAGAGAAAATAATAACAACATAAAATAAATTACACGAACCATAGGCTTCTATGTATCCCTTTGTTTGTTTCAATGGATAATTATGATCTCGATCATGATACAAAAATAAGAAAAATTTTCTTTTTAAACAAAGTACAACGCCTAACCCAGAGATCTGTGCAGTGAATGGTCCGACAATGAGCCAGTCTTGCTTATAACCTGTTTCACATGTGTTTCCATGGTAATAATGTGCAAATCATCCGTTTTCCTCTTCACTTTCCGTGTATGGATGAATGCCGACGTGTATGGATGAATGCCGACGTGCGTGCATGTCATAATAACACGGATATTTCTTTTGACAAACATACAAAGAGTTGCCCGTAACTTGAGAGTGAAAACTAGAACTAGAAAAGGTTATAATATAGACATGGGGTAAACTATTTCTGTTTGCATGTATTGTGTACGTCATCGTTTATATGATACGGATACCAGGCGGGGGCTATGTGCTGCACCCCTATTCCGAGAATTTTGAAACTTTCCATTTACACCCGCTCATATTTGGAAAGTGAGGTTGTTATTTTGAATTTGTTTATCTTAAATAATATATGTTTATGACGTAATTACATTTCCACTGCAATGGCAAAATTTAGAAACGTCGAACGTTAGTCTTCGGGCGCGAAGATCAGAGAAATGTTGCCTTGCGTTTATGTTTTATAAGTTTCTGTACAAATGTTTCAAAGAAAGTGATTTACCATAGCATAGCACCATCATGGTGTCATAACTGAACTCAAGTAACAGGCGAAAACAGCAACGTGGTCAGCTTCTATGCTTTGTTTTGGAATTGCTTTAAAAATTGCTTTTTATACAAAATCATAATTCATGAGTCAGTAAAGATAATGTGATGAAATTATTTCAAATTACAGTGTATTCTCGATAACACAGGTCTGAGTAGAATATTATTGGATTATGAATGCTGTGGTTTTATGTTAAGCGTTCTCCTATAGAAAACTATGAATAAATAATAATTCTGTTATTATTTCACACGGACTTACGGATGGGATGCTGGTTGTGAGGTAAATTTCCGTCAATTATTGAATTAGAGTTTTTATTGCTCTTGAGATGGAATAAATAGCTGTCATGTTCATTTTGTGTTCATGTTAATGTAATGTGGTAAGAGGAATGGAAATTGGACTTGGAATAAAGAGTATGTTTCAGTTGATGATATCACAAGTCTGGTAATATCCCACTGAAAAAGACTTATGATTTGAAATAAACTGGATGTAAGGGATCGATGTTTTGAAAATTAATCAGTGCATACATTTTTTTTACACAGTGGCAAAAAAAATGTCATTATTAGATTTAGTTTGATTTGAATATTCTTTTTCTAGCTACAAAGTTGCAAACTACATGTAAAAGTGAACATTCTGTTGTCTTTTTAGAGATAACTGTGACTGTATTTAACGGCATTGAATTTTGTAGAATTGAAAAAGCCTCAGTCAGAATCCTGAATTTTTTTCTATCCGAATCATACCCCTTGTGGATGTGTTTTAAACATAAAATGCTGCGTTGGCTTCCGACAAACTTAACAAACTAGGAGCAAAGAAAGTCATTTGAAATCTGACATCACGCTCATGGCTCAATGTCACCATAGACGCTGCATGGTCTTGATTGGTACTTATTAGGCGCCAATTGTTTAATTCATTCAACAGAATGAAATGTGAAGGCTAATTACGCGTTTGCTTGAATCAAAGTTAGAAAATATACTTTGAGATCCATTAAATGCATTATGAAAGGAACAGCATGGACCCTCTGAGCAGTGTAAACATTTTCTTTCATTGATGTAATTTGTCGTAAGTGAGAGGGCGTGCCGGTATGCTCTTCCAAGGCTCCTTTATCAACAACAAATTAGAAGGGGAAATAAAAATTCATACAATGTTCCAAAATTGTTCAGAATAATCTGGATGAAATGAAAAAGAACTGATGATGATGAAGATGATGATGATGACGATGATGATTATGATAATGGTTATGATGATGATTATTATGCTAATGATAATGATTCACACTATTTATATGGCGCTATGTTTCTGTTGAATGCTAAGGCGCAGAAAGTAGGCATCAGTAGTGGCATTTAAAGCCCCACTGTCCTACTTGTATAGCTACTTGCTCCCTCTATATAGAAAACTTCCCCAATCGGTGCCTGTTGGTCCCTCATGATCCTCTTTTTCTTATGTTAGTTGAGAGCTGACTTAATGAGATAGCCACCCGTTAGTGACCTCGCTGTGTGGTCTAATCCCTTCTGGCCCAGTAGTATCGAAGGTCTTTAATATTGCAGAAAGCAATGATATTCAGGGGAAGATACATTATCAAGGAGGCGTATGTAATCGGTATCCTATAAAAGGTGTATCACAATTTATTGCCATGTATTGCAGGTAACACAGTTTTTACAATGGCCTTAATGGATATTCCCTCGTCTGTATGTGATAATGATGATGATGATGATGATGATGGCGATTATTATGAATGAAATTGATGACAGCGGTGATGGTGGTGGTGGTATACGTAAATAGGATGACAATGATGACGATGATCGCAATGATGATAGTGGTGATGATGACGACGGCAATGAAAACAGTGTGACAGTTATGAAGAAAACAATGATGGTCATGATGATGATGATGATGATGATTAAAATGATCAGAAGCTAACTGTGATGCTTATAATGGTAGTTCAATGGTTGTTATACAATCACGGATAATGCTGTAAATTCTGTGTTTGCCACAATGCATGGCTATGAATTGAATATTTTAGAACCAAACAACGAGAAAAGTTTTAAAAATCTCTTTTCACTTTGTTATCATGATTATGTAAAATGAAAGAATTTTCAAGACTGTAAACAAAAAAGTTATACTAAGTATATTACAAGAAATCATATAACGCCTCAATCGAAGAAACTGACGTCGTTTATTCAAGATAACTTTCAAAGTCTAGAACTTTCGTGTAAAATCGGCTTCTACCTTTCAATTCGTATTTGACATTTCCATGAAATTGAACACACAAGATCTTTATCTTACCCCAGTAATTATGGTAATGAATTGGTAATTTGCCAGTCGGTGAGATCTAATGGGGACAACCATGTTTTCTTTCCAAGCAAGAAGTAATTCACACTGGCCAATCAGAGCTCGCGATAGAGTGACGCGACGGAAATGTCTATCAGACAGTTGCGATGATTGGCCCAGACGGGCGTCATTTCCGCTACTTTCCAGAACTTTCCCGCTATTTTGTTTTCTCTCTCTCTCCCTTCTTTTCTTCACGGCCTCATCGTCTGCAATTCATGCGCTGAGTGCTACGACCTATCCAAAATTACCGTGAATTGGAACCTGCAGTGACGTGACTTTGAATAAGTCAAGTGATGATTGTTTTAACCACTTGGTGTACTTGAATTTATTGTTTGTAATCAGCTGCATTCGCCAGATCAACCAAAACAAAAAGCGTTTGGAGAAAGTGTTCACGGGCTTCATATCAAAGCTGATCAGAGATTTTAGCTACATAATATCATGGTAGAGTGAATAAATGAGAAGTGGATTTCAGACGATACAGTGTCAAAGGCTCATCAACATGGCGAGGCTGCATTATCTATGGTTAGTGCTCTTAGCACTTTTGACTGCGGAGAATACCAGCGGGCAATACCAGGCATATACCGTACAGGACATTGCCGATTTACAGAACACGGTACTGTATGAAATGTTCGATTACTTCTACTTTGCTCAGGAGCAGCAGCTAACAACCGTCTTCGAACGCATATCTAACATCGAGAGTCGATTACAGGTGGTGATGGATGCCTTAGGGCTACATGAACAAGAAGTACCGGATGAAGTCGACATCGTTCGACCAACTGCACCACCAACTCTTCCACCCCGCAGGCCAACTATACCTGAACCTGAAGTTACATATCCACCATTCATTCAACCCAATCGAGGGAATAGAAAGCCAAGACCTCGACCAACTCCATCACCTCCACCTCCAAACACGCCTCGACCAAATCGAAGACAGAAACCAACAAAACGACCTCGACCTACGACGCGTCCTACAACACGCCCGACAACACAACCCACCACAACAGCCCCGACGACAAGGCCAACAACGCAACCGACTACCACACCGCCAACCACTCCCCCACCTGTCCCAAGCACATGCGCTGATATCTACGAGCAGGGCCTGTATTCTCCAAGCCAATCCATGTACTCTGTAGATCCTTTGCAGAAGTCAAAGTTCGTCTATGTCAAATGTGAATTGGCAGACCAACCGGACGGAACAGAGAGGATGGTCACCGTTGTTGAACATACAAAGATGTCAACGAAGAAGGTTACAGGGTTCGAAGCCCGTGGTGAATTCAGTCTTCAGCCAGTTTACAATGCTACCGTCAAGCAACTTCGTGCCTTATCCGCTGCCTCGGAGTCCTGCTCGCAGTACATCGAGTACAGATGTCGAGGAGCGGCATTGATGGCTCAACCACCACGAGAGAGTGGGACGTACGGGTTCTGGGTGGACATCAACGGGGAGGAGGTCGAATCCTGGGGAGGTGCTCCAGCTAACAGCAGAATGTGTGCTTGTGGTTTGGATGGGACCTGTGTGGGTGAAGGCTCCTGTAATTGTGATTCCAACTCGAAGACTTTCGTGACGGACGCTGGTCCGATCTCGGAGAAAGAAAGGCTACCTGTGACGGATGTCCGGCTGGGGGATACGGGTGGTAAAAAGGAGACGGGATATATCAAGCTAGGACCTTTAAGGTGCTTGTAATTATCATCATAGAAACTGTCGAAACAGAACATAGTTTCAGACCGAATGCGAAGACGTGATGGAAACTGTTATCTTGAGACGCCAGATATCTTGTATATGGACACAACAAACACAATGCATTTGTCCATGTGTCGGGAGGTCGAAATATTAATTCGTTGGTTATTTGAATAGTTTGCATCAAACGAGCTAATGACCTAATAATAATTTTGTTTTTTAAATACACATTAGTAGTAGTAGGTTTACAATATTACGACTAGTTTACTTTATACTACTCTTAATTTGAATATAGATTTCTTTGATATTGGATGTGTATTTGTTGGTGTAGCAATATCATTAATCATATTTATTCCTGATACATTGCTGATGTTTTACACATGTCTATTGGATGTATGAGTTTCGTGCCTAAACAAAGTCAATAACAAAAATTGTATCGGTACAAAATAGCACTGACTATTTAAGAATAATCATGCTTGATTTGAATAAGAATATTGCTTGCATGCAGAATCATTTGAAGAAAAAAATTGAGAGCGCTTATTTTTTCTGTTTTGTTGACATCACCGTGGTAGCATCATTCTTAAATTCTTGACTAATTCTTCAAACAAACAAAATAACATTAGCGACGTCAAGTCATCTCCCAATAATCGTAATTTCATTATTTCCTGGAATAAAAACCTCATGGACTTTGTTGAATGTAAAATCATTTAAATCATTTCAACATGTAGAAAAGAAATGTTGGCTGACTCACATCATAGCTGTCAAAGTTAACAGAATTTTAGACAAAGAAAATACATCGATCGCATGGCGTTATTTTAGGGGAGCTTGGTTTTCAGCCAAATCTTGATAACAATTGTATATGAATAAGGACTTTAATGGTACGTTAGACTTGGAAAATTACAACGAGCAATTATCACTGCACCTGTTGCATGGTTTTTCTTCATTCTCTAATGGGACGAGTTTCATTCATTAATCAATTTGAGGTGTAATACAGATACGGTGCAATGTGCAGATGTGACGTTGTCATAGAAACGGATTAAACGAATTCAAAGTGACATAGTAGACACAGTCATCCGTTTCTATTTATCATCTCCCCTTTAGAGGTTGCTAGTTGACTTTTCTCATGTAAATTGTCCCTCCCTAGTACCCGAGTCAAATCACTTCGATGCAATTCAATCATTGAAAAGAATGTTTATTTATTGCTCCCACATAACCAGTATTCAATCCCATGTCCCATCCACTTTATTTTCTTTACTCTTCTGTTAATTTGATCTTTTAAAAACTGTTTAGTTTTTTTTTTGCAATATAAGGGAGGGTGTATTGTGCATAGGGTACAAGCGCTTCACATTTTATAAAGTTATATTGTTAATCCTTCAATCATTACTTAAGTGCTAACTATTGTTCCTTTATGATAACCCGCATAATCTAGCGGGATTTGCAATAAAAAGATCGCTTGCTATGTATATAAAATGGTTACATCTGACATCTATATTGTGTCCTGATTTATGTTTAAATGAGTTCCTTGCCTGTTTATGGGCGCTTTTTCTTTTATTCATGTTAATATTTGGTTAATACATCAATGTTTGTTGTTCCCTTCTTCATTCTATACGGGATTGTTGTCATTCTATCACTAGAAGTAAATGATCATAATTAGATTGTAATCCTTGTCTTTTAGAAGATTCAAGGGTCCAAACACAAACCGACTTGTAATTAGTAGCTGATCCCATACTAACAGGTTCCGGATGCTACAGGGCAGGTTCCCATACACTGATAAGCGACGTGGTTTAGAGTGGGTCAGGCCATTGAGGGGCACTGTTGTCATGAAGGGGGGGGGGGGGCAGATCTAACTAGGTGGAGGGGGCTTGTATCATCTTCTTTTCTTTTTACTGTGCCTTCCCCCTCTTTATCATCTCTCTCTCTCTCTCTCTCTCTCTCTCTCTCTCTCTCTCTCTCTCTCTCTCTCTTTGTCTCTCTCTCTCTCTCTTTCTTCTTCTTCATCATTTTTTTTTTTTCTTCTTCTTCTTCCACTTCTTCTTCCCTTTTCACCCTTTAATTTTGATTTGGGGCACGATTTCCATGCCCTCCCCGTATAGCTAGGCCACTGTTGATCAGCCCATCATGGTTGACAAGGAGGGGTATCTAGATGATAGGGGGAGGATGTAAACAGGTGCAGGCCGGGGAAAACAGGAGAAGGGGAAGAGGAAGAGGGATGGTTAGGTAGAGATAGGCGCTGTATCATACAGGAGGGTGTGTATAAGAAAGTAGGGTGAAGAAAGAAGAGGGAGTGACAGGAAGAGAAAGAGCTATAGAATATCGGTTGAGAGAGAGAGTGTTTTTGAGACAGAGAGTGAGAGAGAGATAGAATGAGAGAGAGAGAGAGAGAGAGAGAGAGAGAGATGTAGAGAGAGAGACAGAGAGAGAGAGAGAGAGGGAGAGGGAGAGAAAAAGCTAATGAGGGGATAATGATGGTGTCGATAATGGTAAAGAAGATAATGATGATAATGATGGCGATAAAGATAGTAATAATGATGACGATGGTAGTGATGACGACGTTGATGATGATGACGGTGAAGAAGATGATAATGATGATGATAATCATTATTTGCAAAACGCAGTGGTCAAAGTAACAGTGGCATGTAAAGAAGAAGTAGATAGACAGGGGTTGGGACTCCTTTGCATATATTTGTTCATTTTCAATTAAGGGGCGGGAGGACGCATATAGTGTCTGGTGGCTGGCCGGGTCGGGGTGCTTTTAAAGATCTGTTGGAATGTGTATTGACTGTTCTTCAAATGGGGGGGGGGGGCATTCACCTGCTTCACTATACGCATAGATATGTCATTGATTGTTCGGTCACCGAGTGAGAAAACTGTCATCGGAACATTAGTCAGAACTTAGCGGTGTATTTTGTTTCCACCTTTATTTCATCTGGGAATCGAATTTTACGGTTTCTCTTTCCCATATCCTTTTATTAATCACCCCCACACTCCCAATGTTTTTGACGAGTGTTCTTTGTTAAAGTTGGGACAATTATCTCAGATTTAAGAAAACAGGGCATATAATGTCCAGAAGAGCTAGGTCGGCTTAAAGATAAAATCAGATACATTTATGACCTCATGATAAAGAAAGGACGTTAGTCACAATCCGACATAAGACAGAATTCCTCCAGGAAATCTTCCCTTCCTCTCCTCTCCTTTGGGTTCTTTCCTTTCTTGAACGTCTTTCAATCTCTCCAAGGTTTCAGCATGTATTCAATCACACAGTAATAATAATCACTAATAATGTCTAGCTGTCATTTGCTGCACCGTCATCCAGCGAATTATTCAAGTCATCTATAACAAGTGTATGGTCCTTATAACTTTCAAATCAATTGCAATCAATCATTGATAGAAAAATCATATTTTCGAATTATAATCAGATATTTGAATAAACGGAATACAAGAAATCATTAAAAAAAAACATCGTAATCAAAATCAAATGACAAATCAAAGATACAAATGAATCTCGCATATGTCTGAAGTGTCATAAAGCAAGTGAATCTCATATCGGAAGCTTCTCAAGTATGTATTAGCTGTTTACAGTCAAACCTGCTTTAGTGACCATCTGTCTACAAAGACCACTTGTCTACATTGGCCACATTTTTTTCCCCTTGAAAATGGTTTCTCATTGAATCATGTACAAAAGGAACCTGTCTACAAAAGCCACTTTTTGTGTTTCCCTTGGGCGGTCACTATAGACAGGTTTGATTGTACTATCAGCTGAAAAAGCAATGAAGTAATAACACTTCCTTTCCAAAGAATAACTGTTTTTTTAAAGAATCATTTGTTCATAGATAATATACAACAAGTTACAAGTGCCCCGTCGATCCATTTAACTGTTCAATGAGGGATATTGAAAGGAATATGCTAGATCCAAATAACTACTAATCTGTGTGCGTTTATCAACTTCTTATTCAAATATTTAATTTATATACTTAGTATTTTTCGTATTCGGTATTCTATTTTTTTTTAATTTATCAACGTCTCGGATTCAATTCGATTTATGGAGGATTGCAATCACAAACCGCAAATGAGAAAATGATGTTAGTGTGGTAGAATCTACAGTAAACATCCTGTCTGTAACGTACGTCGCATTTCTAGTGAATCACCCACTCCTTGTAAACAATTGTACTGATTTCCTCTCCTCATCTTTATGCGTAGCTGCGTTGCCTAGCAACGTGATCGTCTGAATGTCAACGCCACGGTGAACCAAAAGGTGATGCCGAAAATCCTTGCTGAAATTTAAAGTCGGAAAGCCTCATTTTAAACGTTCACTTTTTAGCTTTGGACAAGCAAAATTGTAGATTAATAATAATAATAATAATCCGGTTTTTTATATAGCACTCAATACAACGATCCAACGATGTGCCTAACAAATCCAACCCCCGATAAATATCGTCAATTCATTGCAATTCTCATTTTCTGTAGCACGCCATTCCAATCAAATCGTCAATAATATTAGGCGGTTCCATTTCAATTGGTATGTTCGTATACCTGGTAATGCTCTGATTCCAACTTAGGTCGCGCAAACAAACGAGACGTTAAAGAATTGAAACTAAAATTGAAGAAGAAAAAAAAACAAGTTACCTTCACACCCTCAATCAGTTTATCTAACTATTTTTTTTTTTTTTAATTATGGGGTAAATAATTATGATTCATGATAACAATGTCAAATTTCTTTTGTAATTGAAAACAAAAATATTGTGCCACTTCGCTATATCTTCCACAAATCTTTGTAGATTAATGATTTATCTATATGAACCTTTATTTAAACACTGTTTTTGTAATCTTTAATCATGTTTTTGAAGATGATATTATTTCTCTTGACCTCTGAAGGCCTTTCCGCCTTTAATTTGTTTTATGATGAAAAGACGAGGAGAACGAAGCAATAAGGAAGGGGTCAATTTAGAAGTTGAAAGACAAGCGATTACGAAATTATTACCCCTCCCCTCTCCATACTATCGTCTCCTCTGTCTCTGTTCCACTCTCTCATCTTGTCTCTGTCTCTTTCTCTCTCTCTCCCCTTCTCTCTCGCTCTCTCTCTCTCTCTTTCTCTGTCTCTTTCTCTGTTTCTCTCTCTGTCTCACTCTGTTCTTCTTTCTCTCTCTTTCTCTCTCTTCTATCCTTTCTGAGCCTGTAAGGTTAGAAAAATAAGATTGATATTCCTCATCCCTCCTTTCTCTCTCACCCTCTCTCTTACCCTCTCTCTCCTCCCGTTCTCTCTGTATATCTTTCTTTCATCTCTCTCTCTCTTTCTCTCTCTCTCTCTCTCTCTCTTTCTATCTATTTATCTATCATCTATCCATCTAGTTATCTATCTTTCTACACATTTTCACCCTTCTTCCCCTCTTGTTTCGTCACATGTGTCTCTCTCTTTCGACATCGCATGGAGATAGTCATGGTCATGGTAGTGTCAATCTATTACAATACAATTTCTCATTCTCATTTTGAGTTGATATACGTTAATGTAAAATTGTATTTGATTTATCTAAATTGCTGATGATTCATTGACAAAGGATACATACATTTAAACAAATAAATGTTAAACATTTGGACAATGGAACCACTACCAAAAATTTGATTAACATGTTGTTTTTTTTAATATTGGAGGTGTCGGGCTTCCCTCCAAAAAAAAGACTAATAAAAACCTTATCATGCGATTGGTTGATCATCAGCTGCCATCTGATATCTTTTTACTCTTCACACGAGGCCAACAATTATTTATGATCAATAAACAAAGAGATTTCAACACGAAAACTAAAAAAACAGGAATCTTGCAATTATGTCGTTTATTCGTATCACGACAATAATCACATTTTCAATACTTACAATACGTTTTCCGATAGCCATTCGCTCGATAATTATACATTTTGTATTGTCATTAATATTTATGATGAACCGATTAACCGGCACTGCCCGACGGGTATCATCAGATCAGCTGTCGGATATTATTTGATGGTCGTGATTGGGGGCAAAAAAGCACGAAATCATGAAGCTCACCGCGGCTTCTTATTTAAAATGACACGTCTAAACATTCATTCCAGTGGATATCGCAAAGATCTAGAGGTCCCTATAATGAAAACAGGAAGGAGTGTGGTGGAGATAGATACCAAAAGCATGTCATGCCAGAGTAAGGCTTCTAGGAAGAAGATGCAGTTTGATGATTTAAGAGGTGCGCTAGTGGATCTTGAACTTAAGTGTTTTGGCATTCGGGCACAGTATTTTTAAAGGGGACGAACCTTTCATGCCTGAATATAGACATACCTGTTTCCAGACTCTACATTCATGTTATAGCCTTATATGAAACTTTCACACGGCCAATCAGATACAAAGTAACAATTAAAGAAAGACTCAACCTCGCTGCGCAATAATGAGGTGACGGTTGTACGAATATTGGTAGTTTCACAAGTCTCGAGGGTGGGTGGGGGGGGGGGGGGGGTGGAGGTCTGAAGGCTGAGTCCGAATATTGGTATTTTTAACATTATCGAGAGGGGGTCTAAAGGCGGCATTCCGAATATTGGTAGTTTTAAATTCACGAAGGGAGGGGGTCTGAAGGTTGCAGTCCAAATATTGATATAGTTTCAACATTCTTGGGGTGGAGGCTGCGGTCCTCTACGTTTATACTTCGAAAATAAGCAATAGCTCACATAATATTGCAGTTCAGTAGCAGGCATGAAAGGGTGCAAGATCGTCTCTAACGTTACCATGAATCGAAGGTGAAAAGAGGAAAAAACATTAATTAAAAGTTTGTGAGAGAATCAGACAGTTTAATATCTTCTGAAAACAATAATTCATAGTTTGTGATAACCAGCTAGTTTTTAAATGAAAGTTGGAGATATTTCTCCTGAAGCAAATTAAATACAATCCTGAAATGTTGATAAATGACGAACGTTTAAAGACTAGGAAAAACATCGAACCACCATCCAGGAGGATACAACTCAATTTGAAATTATTATCATTTAGTAAGAATCGTCAATTGAATGGCACAATTTCAAAGAATCTTATCGTTTTACCCTTGATCTATCAAACTTTAATTCATGACCTTTTGCTGATCATCCGAAGCCTTGCCAGTGAGATGATATTTCTCCTTTTTATTTCTTGTGTTAAAATGTAAGAGGATATTGGCTTGGTATTGTGTCACGTCTCAGCACTCAAGAAGCTGACGATCATGAGGTTTTTCTTGATGGAAAGTTGTTGTGACGTGAGGTGAGGGTAAAGGCTGCATGCTTCCTCATCATGTTGCCCACTATGACTAATTTTTCCTCAATTATCGGCTCGTTTGCAGACGCTATAATCGCTCTTTGATTGAGCTCAATTGCTGCGTTTAACTTTTGCAACGTAAGCAGTCTAGGCCTTCATCATTAATGTTGGGTAATTTCTTTTTAAAACATGAACTTTTTCAACAATAATAAGAGAAACCAGGGACAGAGGGAGAGAACGAGAGTTAAATCTAAGGGGGGCTGGAGAAAGAGTGAGAGTGAATGAGAGAGAGAGAGAGAGAGAGAGAGAGAGGGAGGGAGAGAGAGAGGGAGAGAGGGAGAGGGAGAGAGAGAGAGAGAGAGAGAGAGTGAGAGAAAAGCCTTCACACGTTGTACAAATATTATTTGTTAAGTCACAGTATAAACATTCAATATTTGTACTTCACACCTGCCAGTTTACATTTGAATATTTTCGTAACTTTGAAGCATTTTCTTTAAAATTAGTGAAGTTTTCTAAATACATAAAGAAAAGGAAAAACCGGTCATCAAACAATTAAATCTCATAAGCTTACTGTTTGAGCAGGTGTAGTCTGCAATAAATATTACATACGTATACTTATGTCAGTTGACTCTAGAGTTTAAGTTCGCTTTGTCTCTGTACCTCCTTTCATCATCTGTAACCTTTAGCCGAGGCGCGAGATTAATTGCCTTCGACAATATTCATTAGGCGACGTAATACTCATTAACAGTCAGTAATACACAAGCCCTGAAATGCTATGAATATAATTATGTCGCATACCGATGTCCGTGTTGACCACACAGTCCCGACACGGTTTGTGATAATCAAATTCGATTTCAAACAGGGAACGTCCTTTAAAGTCGTTAAGATCTTCTCGATGTCCCCCTCCCCTTGGAATGCCAGTCACACGGAGAACATAATTTGTCTCATTACCCGGTGACGATCTCGCGGATAATTAATTGGGAAATTTGCCAGGGACGCGCGGCATTGAAAGTGGCATGTTTATCAAAGATCAGACTTCTTTCCACCAATCATAGCAAAGGACTCTTGTATCTCGGCGGATGCCTCCATCTATCCCACGCTTTGATTGGTCTAGACGTACTAAGTTTCCGGCGCCTCGATTGAGTTAGCTAGCTGCAGAGAGGGAAAGAGGTCTGTTCACTGCACGCAAAACTTTTCCTGCTGCTTTTTTAAATGGAGATCTAATTTTCGCCTGTGTGAGAAAAACGCTATCACATTCGCATCGAACTTTAAGCTATCATCACTCTGAATATGATATGGTTAAAGTGATGGTCAAGGGATTGCAAGGGAGTTGATAGAGAGAAGATCGACGTCGAACTGTAATTCGTTTCTATCGAAGCCGACTGCGATAGTCAGCATGGCAAAGCCGCAAATGCTTCGTGTACTGCTGTGTGCAGTGGTGATGAGTATCGTGAAGGGGCAAACATACACAGTACAGGATATAGCAGATATGCAGAATCAGGTAATCTATGAACTGTTCGATTATTTCCATTTCTCTCAAGAGAGACAGCTTACTACCGCCTTTGAAAAACTGAAGCAAATTGAAAATCGTCTGTTGCAAGCAGAACGAGCCCTAGGAATCGACGGCAGTAACGCCCCTGCCATACCAGGCTTCGTCCGACCAACGTCACTTTATCGCCCTGATCCGCAGCGTCGCCCTGAATACAATCGACGAAAACCGCCCCAGGCGTCACGCGCAACGGCTTTTCCCCGTGAGCTTCCGGTTGGACGTGTAACGGCCGCGGCACCACGTCCACCAACATGGGCACCCCCAAGACGACCCAAAACCACCTTAGCCCCTGAACCACCAACGCGTCCACCCTACGCTAAGACATGTGCAGAGATCCACCAAATGGGATACCTTTTACCTGATATACCAATGTATTCCGTAGATCCATTAAATGACAATGATCTGGTGAACGTTGTTTGTGAGAAAAGCAGACGCCTTGACGGTACCCAGACGGTCTATACCGTGATAGGTCATTCAGCTTTGAATGAAGCGGACAAGGAGATCTTGGTCAGCGGTCATGAGGACCCGGGCTCGTTTAGTCTCAAACCTGTATACGAGGCCAATAAGAAACAACTGAAGGCGATGACCGCAGCGTCAAGGTCATGTGAGCAGTTCATCGCCTACAGGTGCCAAGGATCGGTTCTTATGCAGCGGTCACTCGAGACAGGGACAACCTATGGGTGGTGGGAAACCATTGATGGTGACCGCGTGGAGAGTTGGGGAGGTGCACCATTCAATAGCAGTATGTGTGCTTGTGGAGTAAGACGGAGATGTGTAAACCCACAACGGCCTTGTAACTGCGATGCTAACAAGCAGTCTTCTGATGAAGGGTTCATTATGGATAAACAATACCTTCCGGTTAGTGATGTGCGATTGGGTGATACAGGCGGTAAAAAAGAAAAGGGTTTCCTCGAACTTGGTCCCCTCCGTTGTGAAGGATTGGCTTAGTGGTTCAATATGAATTGGTCATCGATGATGGAGACGATGGGAGAGGAACCATGACGATTACCATCATGATATCCCAAACACGCACAGTACACCGCAAGATTTACCAGAAACGATCCTCAAGGACAATCGTCATGACTTTTTATAATCAAACGGACATGAACATGAACCTTAGTTAAAGTGAGAGGATGGGATGCAATTTTCTTTCTTTTTTTCGTCAATTTTATGACCCATTTTCTATATAACTTGCATATAATATTAATCAATCTTCTATTTTTTAAATTGTTATGGAGTGTATCTAACAAAGACCCTGATAATTTATAGCATATTCACGTAATGGGTTATCTGACTTCTATGTTTAAAACAAAAACTCTATTGATGGATGTCTCCCAAACGTTAATATGGCTGGCTATTGGACTTTTGAAAATGTACACATAGTACATACAACGTTAGTTTGCCATGTTTGTGCTAGTTTCCTTCCTTCTTTTTTTTTTGGGGGGGGGGGTGTTTTTAATGAGACTAATGAAGTCTCGCAATGTCTGGAGGTCTTTGAGGCACTCGTATGACTTGACATTCTTCGAGCCGAGATAACTTTGCATACTTTTTTTTCAAATCGAAGGACCGACAGAGGAATAGGAAGCTATTTTGGGGTCCAATAACACTACTTTGCTGATCTTGAAAATTAAATGAACATCAATTTTCACCCTGAAGGTAAATACATATAAATAGTTTAATATAGCACGACACCGTTTTCTCTAGAGAAACCATGTGAATATTTTGAGCATAAATGGGTCCCTGTATCATAACTTGTTGATGAAACATTTGATCCAAATTGCAAGGTTTACTCCAAGTTAGTCGAATACCATTATTTTCACAATTCACTTCTGTCAAAGTTAACTGAAATCCCTTTGATGGTACTCCGTGCCATCCGAAGACCTTTACGAATCTTTTTATATAAATCAATGAACATTCAGATTTCTTTTTTCCTTTTAATTAGATCAACAATTGTCAATACAAGCGCTCTCAAACAGGGTAATATAATGATACATGCAGATAAAGCGTTGCTAATATGTCAGAATCATAATGTATGATTTTATTTTGTACATTTATTTTTATAATCGTAATTTATAGAGTAATATCATGTTAGTTTTTAACCGTCTACAATGATGTAATCAGCAATGGCACTTGGATATGATATGTTTTATTTCGTTTTCACCAAACTAGAAATTGTAGTTGTTTTAGATTAAACAAGGTCTACAAGGCCTATAATAAAACAAAATGTTTATATTCAAAAAAAAAATTCTTCATGAAATTGTCATTTCGTGCCTTTGCATCGAACGTTGGAGAAAAAACAATAGCAACTAAATGTGAAAATGAAATGAAAATTATTTGACTTGTACTCCGAGAAAATAAAATAGCAGGATAAGTATAATTTTAAGGCATGACAAATCAACATTTTATAAAATCCTATTCCACTGACTATTAGAAAGTGTTTATAACAATCAATAAGTGATGATAAGGTTGCATTTGGAGGTCATTCATTTTGGATGCTTTTGTTATTTTTTGGATAGCAGACGAGAAAAGCAAAGATTTTGTCATAACATGGTTATTACTACTCACTTTTTTACTTTTTATATTTCTTATTTTGACAAATGTAGCATTAGGTAAAGGAATGAAAGGTTTTATTGAGACCAAGAAGGTAGTTGAGAAAACTGAACAAAAAGTATGATTCTGACGCAGACAGGTGTTGTAATAATGATGATGATGATGACTGTGATATTACGATAACCGTGACGATGATGGTGAAGATGATGGTGGTGACGGTGATGGTAACGATGATGATGGTGATGGTGACGGTGATGATAACGATGATGATGGTGACGACGGTGATGATAACGATGATGATGGTGACAATGACGATAACGATGATGATGGTGACGGTGAGGATAACGATGATGATGGCGACGATGATGGTGGCGGTGACGGTGAGTATAACGATGATAATGGTGACAGTGACGATGATGGTAACGATGGTGATTTCGATGACGGGGACTATGATGGTGACGACGTTGAAGATGATGATGATAATGATGCAATGGTTATAACAGTAATGATGACGATGAAGAAGAAAACGATGATGATAATGATGATAGTATTGCAATGATGATAATGTTGGTTATGGTGAAGATGATGGTAATGATTAAATTATTATTAGGTAAACAGTTGTATTATTTTTAAGGATTACAATAAAAAATGAAATGATACTTTGAAATAGAAATAAAGTATTCATTAGCAATTCATTAAATCTTTATTGTCAGTAATTCATTAAATCTATGATAGATTCTGATAATTCTGAATATCTAATAAATTTTAGAAATGCTCAAACCAAACACAATCAAAAGAACAACAACAATTGGCATTTTTACAACAGTACATTATAGCCCCTAAGATGTTTTCTGTCTATGTTTTATTTCTTCATTACTTATAATTATTTTCATTGGGACAAAATATTTTCTATCAAACAGATTGACACACAATAATAAGTGTTCAGATCTGTCATAGATATTTTCCAGACACTGTTTTTTCTTGGCAAAGACACAAAAATCATAGTTAGATTTTGAAATCACAATCGCGTGCTTCCTTTTGTTTGATTGGGCATGTAGAGGGATGTCCAAAATGACCTTCCATTTCCGATTTGTTAAATTGATTGTCATTCTTATTGGGATCGACTTGACATTATTTCCATGTACAAACAGAGCCAGACAACCCCTGGGACATGCATGGATTAAAGATAATATCAATATATTTCAGGTTAAAATCTTTGGCTGTTCTTGCTATTCTTTCTTCGATTGCCTTTTCTCCTCCTCCTCCTTCTCTTCTTCTTCTTCTTCTTCTTCTTCTTCTTCGTCTTCTTCTTCATCTTCTTCTTCTACTTCTTCTTCTCTTTTCCTCTTCTCTTCTTTTTATTTCCTCCTTCTCCCTCTTTTCCTTTCTACATTCTTCTTGTTCCCTATTTTCTAATTTGTTCTTTTGTTTTTGCTTTTCCTCGTCGTCAGTGTCTCATACTTATTTGTTAAAGTCTATTTCTCTTTTATTTTCCTTCTTCTTCCTGTTTTCCCTTTTCTATTTCTTATATTCCTATTTCTTCTTCATATTCTTTCCTCGGTCTTCCTTCAATTATTTCTTTTATTTATCTATTCCTTTCGTTAAGGGGGGGGGGGGGCTAATGCAAACTTTAAAGACTTTTAAATGTTATCATCATCACAGTTTTTTTTTCTTCTTTTGTTAGCTTTCTTTGAATGCTTCATTATACGTAACATGAGAGCCTTTATCAAATAAAGAAGCCCTGTGCTACCGTTTCACATTGCCCTTGCCCTTACACATCCATCACCCCCACCCCCATTCCAACAATGTAGTATATTACATCATTAATGACGCCTTCACATCAATAATTGCCATAATTTGTTTGGCTCATCGAATTAGTTCGGATAACGAAAGCGCATCTGTTCCATCAGTCAACTCGAGAGGGCACACTATGCTTTTACGGCAATCCATGTCGAGTTTAGAGAGATTGCTAGCAAGTATTGTGGTGCTCCTATGTTCATGGTTCATGATGTATACCTGCTAGTTTCTGACAACGGAGATATACTCAGTTTCATTATAATAATTTTGTAATCAATGCAAACTCAATAAAGTGAAGATTTATTTTGAGAATTAATGAATACTAGGGGGGTTCATTCATTTTTCGGGGGGAGGGGGGGGGGTGATTGGGGCGTAGAACCTTTTTTTTTTTTAAAGAAGTCTGAAGCCAATTAATGATATTTTGTTTTTTTATAATATCTCAATCCACCAACACTTAAATTTGCGTATGATTTTTGTTTAATGTAAATTCTTATTTACATGTATGATGAATTTCGTATTACTTGCCATGATGCCTGGTACAGTACTTCTACCCCCCCCCCCCATATCTCTCTCTTCCTTCTCTTCCTCTCTTTCCCTTATTGAGCAAAAATCGAGGCAAGCTCCGGAGTTCTTTCTTTGTTTATCCCCTCATCACCAAACTCTGCGAGTGACTCATTATTGAAATTGTCACAGACACCCTACCAACACCTGACCTCACTGTGACCTTAGAGGTATAATTATACCCCCTTCTCTCTCTCTCCCTCCCTCTCTCTCTCTCTCTCTCTTCCCCACTCTCTCTCCTTCTCCTCTTTCTATCTCTTTCTCAATCTCCGTCTCTCTCCTCTCTCTCTCTCTCTCTCTCTCTCTCTCTCTCTCTGTGAGTCTGTCACACAAACACAAACACACGCACACAGACACACCCTCTCTTTTCCCTTGTCTTTGCCTCCTCTCTCTACTGTCTTTATGTCTCTCCATTCCCTCTCTGTGTCTGTCTTCTTTTCAAATCTACCATTCTGTCTGTCTGTCTGTCTCTCCCTCTGTCTTGTCTATGTATATATTACATGTATTACATTTTGTGCTTTTCTATTTACCTCTTTGCTTATGCCTCATCTCTATTCCCCCTTCATACGCCCTCTCCCCCCCCCCCCCCCTCTCTCTCTCTCTCTCTCTCCTCCCCCCCCCCCTCTCTCTCTTTCTTTCTCTCTCTCTCTCTCCCCCTCTCTCTCTCCCCTCTCTCTCTCTCTCTCTCCCCCCTCTCTCTCTCTCTCTCTCTTCTCTCTCTCTCTCTCTCTCTCTCTCTCTCTCTCACTCACACTCGCTCCCTTTTCTATTTCCGGCTCCCCCTACTTTGTGTATACTAGATGCAAGGTGTAATGTATTACAATAAATGATGATGATAAAAACGAATGATACAGGGCCTATTTATTATAGCTTACAGAAGTTGTGACTGAAAAGAATAACAAAACCGGTGTGCCTCCAAACAATTTTATTTGTGAATGTTTGAATCATAATCACATCATACATAATTAGATTATCATTCCACATCTCTACGTGACTTGTGTTGGCTATGATTCAGTTATCGTCATTTATTTAAATATGTGTAAAATTTCTTTCATCGGTCCAGCAAGCCTTACACAAATCATTTAAAACATTTTAACCAATACAATTATAGAATGAATCATTTATGTTTTCGTCCTAGCACATTATACCGACACGCATCCTATGTAATCCCTTTCTACCACAAAATATGAATACAATCGCTCACTCAGAAGATGAGCCAAAATATTTAGGGGACAAAATATGTATCACCATTTTGCTTGATGCAGTCTGCACCCCCTTACGAAGAAAAAAAAGAAAAAAACCTGGCAACCTCAAAGTTATCCGTTTTCTGTCATGGTTTGAGCTCTGTCGCGTACCTGGTATTAGTTACCTGGGCAACTTAATTGAGTTGAATAAGGGGTTATGAGTTAATTGGTCTGCCGGGGAGGGGAATTCGAAACTTCGATACGTCTATCTTCTGTTTTTGTTTCCCTAGGACGGTCTGTTCAAGATACCCCTGGAATGTGACATATGAACTGGCCCTATTACCATGTCCCCTCTTCTATCTGGAAAACTGCTACAAAAACTTTCATACCAAGTTGTTTTACAGGTAGTAATTAGCGTTTGAGAGCTATAAAGAAGAAAAAAATCGATAGGTTATTAACGGCAAAATTTGAAAGAAGGGTTAACATCGAGTAAGTTTAATAACACCAATATGACCATTAATGCAATCTCTTGGTTTTTGCGCTTGCCAAATTGAATTTAATGTATAGAAGAAAAATAAAGGGCAAATGATACTTATGCTACAACCTTCGTTTTTTAATGTTACATAAAAGGCCTACATCAACCTTTGAAGAACAAACACTTCTGATCGAAATTAAAAAAAAGGATTTTGTATATTTCTTCATAATTTTCTCTATCGCGTATTGAACGACTGAACGATTGTGTCAAATAAAAGAACGTATAAAGCCATTTGTATTCATCCTGTTTTTTTGATAAATAATCTATTATTTCTAAGATAAGCCTTCATCATTGTGCAAAATATGTTTACTCTTTAACATCAAGGTTATATTTTTTATTATTGCTATAGCATTTTCCAGACTTATTCACAGTCATGATTTTAAGTATATGCATAATATTATTTTCTTCTTCGGTATAACGTATACTATAATAAGTAGACACCCCCCCCCCTTCTTAACATTCAAAAGGATGTGGTAAATACGGATTAGAATGGCACCATTTTGATATATCTATATTGACCAAATCTGAAATCTGAACTTTTTAATCTAACCGGAACAAAGAATGAAACGAAACTAGAAAATCATAACAACGAAAAATGAAAGCATAATCCGACAGGAACCGCAGAAACTAAATCGCTTTCCAGTTCCTTAGCATCTTTTCATG